TTTTACTTACCCCGGTGCGAAATTAAATCCGCCAGAGGCAGCACGTCGCTGCAGCCAAAATTTTTGAATTTCCGTGTTTGCAGGGCTTACAATTTGAGACGAGATCTCAAAAACTACTTAATATTTTTGAGTGAATCAAGAAGATTCGAAAAGATAATAAAATTTAGAACAATGCTCTTGTTTCATTTTTTTTAAAAAAGCGATGGGTTTGGATGTACCGAGCGATAGAAATGATGCTTTTTTTCGAGTATTTAGGTCGTGATATTTTCAATTTGCAATTTTTTTTTCGAAAAACTAAAACAACAGCATTATTCTTTAGATTTTTATCTTTTATTATTTTCTAATCCGGTCAAAAAATATTACAAAATAAGTGAGTTCTCGTCTCAGGAAATTAACCCTTTTTCTCAATTTTTAACGGCTTGTTGTTGGCCTCTTAACCATGTCAGATAAAGGACATCGCACACATCTTATGGGTTTTCGGGGACCGGTCGATTTTTTTAAAAATTTGGTATGTTGTAGTACTAGTGAAAATAAGTATTTTTCATCATTGCGCAAAATCTCTAACTATACAGGGTGACCCAGTAAAGTGGGTCCGAAAATCATTGTCAAGCCTTTCATTTATTGATGTTGGCACGCATTGCAAGCTACATATCGGGATTTTTTTTTTCTATTTCGCAAATAAATAGTTTAGATAAGCCTAATATATTATACAGGGTGGCTAACCTTACGTATTCTTTTAGAAATACTGCACTATTCTTAGTAATAGTGTTACGAAAAAGGTCGTGCTGGAATTAATTTGCCCGTAACTTTTCCAATTTTTGTCTGATTTCAGAAAATCTGGTCTCAAAATAAAGCTTACATCACTAAGGGCCGGTATTATAAAACACTGAACCGATGGTTGAGTTTCAACCTTCGGTTGAATCCTATCAATTTGCATGGGGTCAACCGAAGGTTGAAACTCAACCATCGGTTCAGTGTTTTATAATACCGGCCATAAGGGATGTCATGAAATCTGAAAAAATGGCAAGTCTCATAGAATTCGTGTGAAATATCGCCTTTTTTGGCCAGACATCGTCAATAATTTACATCTGAGGAAGCAAATAATACTCGTAAGATTACAAAGACATGTTGGATGGACATTTGAAATCTGTGTTTAACACAGAATGTTGTGACTAGTGCAAAATATTGAAAATGCCCTACATGAAAGGATTCAAAGAGAAAACCTCCAACTTAGGGGTGGTGGGATGGGCCTTAAGTCGATTTACATGAAAATTATATTAATTTTTCTATTCTCACTGTTGAGTATTCATGAACTAAAACTTTCCGAATATATCTAAATATTTTCGGGGTTCACACAAGATAAGTAAGCAGAGATTTTCTGTTTGTATCATTTTTGTTTTCCCCTGGGCTGGATGGAGGGAATCCAGTATTGGGCACATACTGCACATGCAAAGTTATCGCGTTGTTAGGTACTTTAGCTACGATCGACATGAGAACAATGTGAAGTATCCATCAAATACGTTACTTATATTAGGGCCGGTTTATCAATAGCGAGTCATTTCCGTGATTTGTCAATTTTGTGGTAATATTTTTTTTTTTCAAAATAGAAATATATGGATTGATTGATGAAGATGAAGATTTCTACAATTTCGTAGGAAAACGCCTCATATAATCCGCCAAAGGATTAATCCTCTCGAGAAATACGATGACTAGGATTTCTCTACAAAGGATTAAAAGTTCATGTCTGACCTCGTGCACCCTATATTTCGCTTATATTATAGCTTGATTATTATTATTTTTTTAATTCAAGGAAGTTTTTTCCTCTTGCGATATCTTTCTTCTCCATGACTATTGACTACACACACTGCATTAACCACGCTCTTCAAAAATTAACAAATTGTAATGAAAAAACGGTGCGTCAAAAAGAATACTCGAACTTATCATTAACTTAACAACAAACTCCAAAAAGTTTTGTGAATGGGCTAATTTGACGATCGACCCATGCGTGACTGCTTTCAACCAATCAAAAATATGTTAGGATCACCATTCTGGTAAACAATAATGCTACCAACTATTGCTTAACCCAGTGTTTATTAACTCCACCTACAGTGGATGCTTGAGAAACACAATCCTCAGTTAACCTGCAAGGTTGAAATTAACACCGGGTTAGTTAACCCCTAGAGTTACTCGCAATTGAGGAACCGCTCCTTAATTCAGGTGTATTTGGTGTATCCAAGACCCTAATTGAATGAAAAGTTATACTTTTATCACGTTCAACCATCTCGAATTTTATCACATTTTCAATTTTTTTAGATTTCATGACATCCCTGTAATATAGGCTTTATTTTGATACCACATTTTTTTAAATCGGACAAAAATTAAAAAAGTTACAGCTGAATAAAATCCAGCGCGACCTTTTTGGTAACACTATTTCTAAAAATAGGGCAGGATTTCTAAAAAAATACGCAAGCTCAGCTACCCTGTATAGTATATTAGACTCATCTGACTATTTATTTGCGAAATCGAAAACAAAAATCTCGATATTTAGCTTGCAGGGCGCGCTAATACCGATAATAGAATGGCTTGGTTTATGATTTTCGAACCTACTTTACTGGGTCACCCTGTATAGTTAGAGATTTTGCGCAATGATGAAAAATACTTATTTTCCCTAGTACTACAACATACCAAATTTTTAAAAAAATCGACCGGTCCCCGAAAACCCATAAGATGTGTGCGATGTCCTTTGATATCAGAACGGCTGCATCCTTATTGCCTTGTTTAGATGGCTCTGAGGATACAACCAAACAATTAATTCATTCTATTCAACTTTATAGTGATATGCTAAATAATGATGGACAAAAAATGCTAATTAATTATGTTCTAAAAACTAGGTTAACTCAAAGTGCGAAATTGCGATTATCTTTTACTTATAAGACTGTGGAAAATTTAATTGCAGACATAAAAACTCATTTACTGACCAAAAAATCTGCTGCGGCTCTAGCTACTGATCTTTATAGCTCTAGGCAAAATAATAAAACAATAGACGAATACTCAAAAAATATAGAAGAACTATTTATTAACTTAACTCTGGCCCAGGCAGATGGTGACCAAAATAAAATTGCTATTTTGAAAGAAGTCAATGAGAAACTTGCCATAAATGCTTTTTCTAATGGGTTAAAAAATAGTGAACTTCGTACAATTGTAAAAGCTAGGAATTACTCTTCATTAAAAGACGCTACAATAGGTGCCAAAGATGAAGAAACACTGAAATTTTCTAATTCTCAACATTCCGCATTTCATTTACGACAAAACACTAGACCACATTATAATAATTCCGCTAGGGGAAACAACAGGGGTAATCGAGGAAGATTTCAACCAAATTCTAATAGGAATTCGCATACTACTAACACTTTTAATGACAATAAATTTTCTCGTGGAAGACCAAGGTATGAAAATAATAGCACACGAAACTCGAACTATAATAATAATTACAATACGTACTCTCGAGGACGCGGTTCTAGCCAAGGTCGACATAATAATCGTGGTCATCAAACTCAAACTCGAAATGTAAACCAGATGAATTATCTTACTAACCTCAACAATGAAACTACTTTTCTAGGAAATTCTAATGATTGTCTTAATAATTCCAATTCGAATAATAACCGCGGTCAGAGATTTTTTCGTTCCTAAAAATCAAACTGACAATTTAGCAGAATGCATTGTTCTAAATTTAACACGTTAATCGCCATGACACCCTACATTTGGGTTTCAGAACTAGTGGACAACCAGGTTCTGAAACCTGTATGTAGGGTGTGACCATGCGCGTACACTTTAAAGCCTGTGACCCGGCTCTTGGGCTTCAAATAACATTGCAATAGATGGATTTTTTCTCAGAGGGGCCTGGGGGACCCTACTAACGTTTGAGCCTAGGATTTTTTGTAATTTTTTTCTGTAGAACCACATTTTATTGATTGTAGGAAAAGGCATGGATTACCAGAACAAAATTATTCATCTATGATAAACCAAAATAACGTATAAACTAAATGCTTACTCTATATATTTGTCACAGTCAAAAAACAGGACAAAAAAATTTACACTGTATGTAAGAAAATCTTGACTCTGGTGAAATGGTATGAATTTTGTGCGAGTGCGTTATAGTATGAGTGATTTATTTTTTCTGATTGATACAGGTGCTAGTATTAGTGTAATTTTTTCTGAAAATTTAGGGCGTAGGCGGTTCTACTTTTTCTGTAGGCTCAACAAATATTTTATTTGAAATAAATAATATAAAAATTAACCACTAATTTTTAGTAGTGAACAAATTTATTTCAGACATCAATGGAATTTTGGGTTCAGATTTTTTTTGTAAATATGGACCAAATATTAACTACGAAAAATCTATATTTTCGTTTTGGCATAATAGTAATAAAATATCAATACCATTATTATCTCAATTTGATTTTAATCTTTCAATACCGGCCAGAAGCGAAGCGATAAAATTTTGTAAAGCTGATTATGATGGTGAATATGTTATTTTATCTGAAGAATTGTGTGAAGGCGTGTTTGTTGCAGGAACAATAGGTAAAACTGGAAATGGCGAAATAGCTGTTAGATTTCTAAACGTTAACGACCATGACATAAATATTAAAAATTTCAAACCCAACTTAGAGCCAATAGCAAATTTTGAAGTGTACAATTTTGATATAAATAACCATTTTTTTAAGCTACTCGATTGAAGTGACACGTTCAAATACGCTGCAGGAAAAGTGATAAAAACAGTGGTAAAATCGTATTCGAAAATTTCAAAAAGTTGAGAGTCAGTGCTTCAAATCATCGCGGTTCTTCCAGTGATAAAAAAAGTGCCGAAACTATTACGAGTAAGAGACAAAATTGATTTCAATTCATTCACATAAGCATTCCTATACCATAACGACGATTTTCGCATACGCCTAGGTACGGACAGATAAAAAGTTTGGGTTTTGAATATTGCGAGTGCATACCACCAGTGGTTATACGCGTTGATATTAAAATATTTTGCTGCAATAAACTCTTCAAATCTTGCGTTATTATCATAGCCAATTTAAACTCTGCTATTTGTTCTATGATAATACTTACTCTGATACTACTTTTTCACACGTATAGTCTTCAATACTCATATTATGGAAGGAGTTGAGCTACTAGCAGAGGATCAGCAAAAACTTTTTAACCTTATGCTAAAAGTCAATCAACAGCAAACACAGGAGATAACTGCGAAAATTGAAGCTACAACTACCAACCTCTCTACAACCATACAAGAAACAAAGCTAGAAATTGACTCAATTAAGAAACGGTGCAGTTTTATAGAAAAAAAACTACGGAAAAACAATATAGTGATCTTTGGAGCAAAAAGCCAACCGCAACAAACTGCTGGTCTATTAACAAGTTGTGTCACTCTGTTGAATAATCTTCTCGGAACCAACATTAGTGAACAAGACATAAATAACATATACAAAATAGGTAAAGAAGAAAATCCACCAATTGTAATAGAATTTATTTCATACCTGAAAAAGCTTACCGTCTACGAGAATAAAGAAAACTTGAAAAAGCTTAAAGAACACGGTATAACTATTTCCAACGACCTAAGCCCAAGCGAACGAGAAGAACAAAAGCTCTTGCGAAAACATTTGCAAATTGCTAGAACACAAAATCACGAAACAAAAATCCTAGGAAATAAACTCATAATAGATAACATGGAATACACCCCACAAGAATTAAAGGAAATTGAGGCAAATGCTAGTCACTCTGAAAGTGCCGAGGAAGAAGAAAACGAAGCAATCAAAAATACCGAGAAATCCGAAAAAACCGGAAGGAACAACAAAGACAAGAAACCAGTGGCGCAAAGAAACAACGAACGACAAACGAAACGAAAGAGACTCATGGTCAAATATAGTCCCAAGTACACCAGGAATACAAAAAAATCAGAATCCTAAATAAGTTAAATTTGTTTTACATTAAAAAAAAAAAAAAAAAAAAAACTATATATTATATACATACACTATAATACTAGGCAAACAAATAATTATTTATAAATAGTTGAACATGAAACTGTAGGTAATCACAACCCAGGAAGTTTTTAAAAAAATTCTTAAATAAAGTACACAGTATTTACAGTTGGGTATTGAAATAAAACAAATTTTAAATGGATAACTTCATCATAAATTATGAAAACCCAAATATCGAAACGAAAACTTGTCATAAAATTAGGGAATATGAAAAGTTATTAGAAAACACTAGGGAACCAGGTTCAGAATTTTCCCTCTTACATAACAACATTAGGAGCTTGTCAAAAAATTTTGATGAATTCGATGTGTTTCTGTCACAGTTTCAAAAAAATTTCGATTGCATAATTTTGACCGAGACATGGTACATACAAGATACAAACTTTTTCCTACTCCATGATTATGATCTAATATACAACCAAGGAGACTTTAACAAAAATGATGGTGTAGGGGCCTATATCAAAAAGTCCCAAAATTACTCTACAAGAATAGTAAAGTTGTCAGATCTATCTACAATAGAAATAAAAATAGAAAAAAATAATAAAAAAATCCTAATCTTAGCATCCTATAAATCCCCAAAGGACCCCGCACCGGATGCATGGGATTTTGGGTTTCGGTGAAAATTTGTGAAATTTTCAAATTTTGTATAAATTAACGTGCTGAATAAAAGTCCAAATGGCAAAACTTTCGTAACCCCCATAGTTTGCCTTTTATGGGTTCTCCTATTTCAGAACCTTTATAATCTATACAGAACGTTTATTGATTGATTTGTTTATTATTTTGGTGTATTTGTATTTGTTTTTTGGGGTTCATGTTTTGATGGCTGATGCGTTACAGTGTAAAAATTAATAGGAAGGAGATAAAAGGACCCTGTGGCTCGTCATCTCCGCAGTATTTTTCGACTCCAAACCCTCTCCTCCAGTAATCCACATCAAAGCTACACAAGCATCGCTCAATAGCTGCATAGGTTAAAAGACAAACATAAGCTTACTGCTTTATATGATGCTGAAGTGCTGCAATGGTTATTTGAATAAGTAACGGTAAATAAAGTGGTCTGTTATTAAAAGAACATAATATATTATGTGCTTATTTTTGCGAAAATATATTAGAAGATTGGGCACTAAGCTAATAAGGGTTAAATAATTATGGTGTAAACACTAACGGGCTCCTGTGATGATTAATACTGAGATTTTTCATTCAGGGAATTATGTTGATGCCGTGATTGACATATGCCTGAGGGTTTCTGTTAGCAGCATCCAAAACAACATCTAGCAGGACAGACGACGGATACTTGACATTGTGATCGTGTCGTGCATATCCCAAATACCACAAAACACTTGCAACGTGGGCACATGTGCCTATAGTCCTTGCACCAAACCTGCATGTGCAATAACATCCCTGAATGAATCGGTTGTTCAACGTCCTGGACGTCTTGGTTAAAGGCAATCCACAGCTGGTGTTTTGTCGCGTTTCTAAATCGGGAAAATATTCTTAATCTAATAAATCCTGGATCATTGGCTAAAAGGTCTAATTCTAGTATCTCTGTTTGGTCCCTTTGTAGTTTGTACTGTACATAAGATGGCGCCAGTTTAAGTTGGTAAGTACCGAATGTTAAATCCCTTAAATAATCAAGAGACAAGCGTGGAAATCCTGGTAGATGGTTTTCGTCCAGCACTGTCCGTTGACCGTTCCTTCTCTGTAAGCCGTCCGCCTCCACTCGTGCTCGCAATATATTTGGTTCATGCCAACATTCGGTGAGCAATCTCCAAAGGGGGTTCGGGAATTGGGACATGAAATCTATTGATAATTGCAGCTGCAATTTTATAAAAATCACGAAGGTTAACTGCGTGCGTTACGGAAATAACGCCCGCGAAAAACTAGAAAATTGTCTTAAGTGTCCATTTCTGGCTTCGATAATGATCCATCTGGTTTTAGTAACGGGATGCATTTCCTTCTTCGGTTGTTAATTGTCGCTGATTTCGAGGTAAGGCATAAGGCATCCGATGAGCAATTCCGATATTTTCAAGAAAGGGCACAACATCTCTATACCCCCTGTCCACGATAAAAATATCATCATTATTAAACCTGTTTCTAATCCCGTCAACATCATGTTGAAGCTCAGTGCGTAGCACTGCTGCGTGGTTATTTCTAGTATCTGAAAAGTACGGTCCAAGTACGCTTAGAATGTAGCCATTTGGTGGCTTCAATAAGAGCTGGCTTTTAAAGATGATGGCCCTTATGGCGACAATATGATTGTTGCAGAACTTGAAAGTTACAACTTTTCTCGATTTTGCTGTAAGTATCGTCAATATACGCAATAGCTCTACGGACTTCAGGTTCAGGGTTATACAGCGCATTACTGGTCGTTGACGTGACGGTCAATATATGAATTTCTTGTAATTGCTGCAAATCCCAAGTTGTTTGGTACAAACCGTAGTAACAAGGACTTTCTAACAGATGAAATAGCCAAACTGACAGCCTGTCGGGTACTGTAGTTAAAAATAACTTTTAGAAATTCATCGGAAAGTCCATGTCGAAGGTTGCATTAAAAAGTTATCAAGTGTTTCTTTCTTATATGTCAATCTCATCGGTTATCGTGAGGAATATTATCGCAGAATGTATATAATTCGTCAAATTGCGCTTTTGTAAGTGACGAAATAGACTTAAATTCATCATCTGTAATATTGCTTACATCATCAAACCTATGGAAGCGTTGCGTTGTGATAGCGGCACGAAGACCTTCCAGAAAAGCTAACAAATCCACACCTCTAAAATCGAATGGCCTACGAACAGAACGTAATCCAGGAAGTAAGTACTCCTGAAGCAGCTGGCGGTCGGTCATATGTACATAACAATACTTAACATATTCTGGCACATAAATATTGGCTTTAACAAAAATATCAATTCTACAATTATCGTTAATATCCTTTAGTTTTTGAAGCTGATTTAAACGTGAATATCTATTGCATATATGAAGCAATGATCCATAGCGATATTTGAATATAATACAGTATATAGTTGAGATGTGTGCTTAATCGAATTGTTGAACGTGGGGAGTTGACTTATATCGTAAGGCTTAATAATACTCGGTTGCGCGAAATTCGCTTTTTTACAATTTTTCGATATTTTGACGTTTAATACGTGTATTAAACGTTAAAAATGGCAATATGCGCATCCTCCAAAAGCAATACTCAAACATTCTTACTCAGCCTCGGTTTTGAGAATAAGAACCCTGGCCCTGATATACACTTAAACAAACAAGCTGTAAAAAATAGATATAAATACACCAAAATAATAAACAAATCAATCAATAAACGTTCTGTATAGATTAGGAAGGTTCTGGAAAAGAAGAGCCTATAAAAGGCAAACTATGGGGGTTACGAAAGTATTGCCATTTGGACTTTTATTCAGCACGTTAATTTATACAAAATTTGAAAATTTCACAGATTTTCACCGAAACCCAAAATCCCATGCATCCGGTGCGGGGTCCTTTTTGTACTGGCGAATATATTGCCGCACTAGAGAGATACATGAGAGAAATTCCTTACGCTGACTACACCATTCTCACGGGAGATATAAATATAGACTTATTAGCAAAAAATGATAATGAAACGAACGAATATTTAAATCTCTTATGTGAAAATGGATTCGTATCACAAGTAAATAGTCCTACTAGAGAAATAAAATTGTCTAAATCATGTATCGATCATATATTTCTAAAAGTAGGTAATCAAGATACAAGTAGTAAGATAATACCAGCAATTATACACAGCAATATAACTGATCATTACCCCATAACACTAAATATTTTTAGTCAGAATCCATCCCTGGATGGAAAAAATAAAACAACCAGATTTTTTAAAAGCACTGACGAAAACAAATTAATTAACGCAGCTAAAAACGAAACTTGGAATGACTTATATTTATGTATGGATGTGAATGAATGTGCAGATTTATTTACTGAAAAAATACAAGGATTTATAAAAAATGCGTCTACTATAAAAAAGATAAATAGTCACTTGAACAAACGAAAACCGTGGATTACAATAAGTGGCCTAATAAATTCTATAAATAAAAGAGATAAATTACATACTATGGTCTTAAAAAATCCTAATAATAGAGAACTACTAAATAGATACAAATACTATAGAAATAAAATCCATTCTTTAATAAAAAAAGCAAAAAATAATTATATGAAAAATATTATAAGTAATAACTTTTCCACCAAAACATTATGGAATGGAGTAAATAAAATAACAAATCATCATACGAAAAAAACCTCTACTATAAATAGCGTTATACAGGATGATAAAAAAATCTTAGAATCGAAAGAAATTGCTGATATTTTTAACACGCACTATGTAGGAGTAGGAAAAAAATATGCCGATCGTATTCCAGAGTGCACACCAAATTTTAAAAGTAATAGGATTACCAACTCATTCTTTTTAAACCCGACAAGTGAAGCTGAAATAAAAAAAATTATAAAAAATAATAAAGCCCCTGGGAGGGATGGAATAAAATCGGAAATAATAAAAACTTTAGAACCTTATATAATAAAGCCCCTATGTTTCCTATACAATAAAATATTAATTGCAGGCATCTACCCTAATACTTTTAAAGAAGCAATCGTTATACCGATTTTCAAAAGTGGCGATACTACAAATGTAGAAAATTATAGACCGATTTCATTGCTCTCAAACTTCGATAAAATTCTTGAAAAAATTATAAAAAATCGATTAACAAGATACATATCTAAACATAAACTGATATCTCCTTCTCAGTACGGATTTCAACAAAAAAAATCTACAGCCGATGCTATAAACCAACTAATTACATTAATGTATTCTACATTGGATGATTCTAAACCTGCGCTATGTGTCTTTTTGGACCTAGCAAAGGCTTTTGATACCGTCTGTCATCATCAACTACTA